CGGTTCTTCTCAGAACCACACATACTCAAAGAAGAGATGAATACATGGTGTTACCGCAATCTTTACTATAAATCTAGTAATCTTCAACTTGGAACAGTGGTTTGGTTTGATTTATCGAATTTGCAAGAAATGCTGTCATTCATTCAAAGCATCTGTTAACGTGTCCTTTTTGCAATCAGTTGAAGCTCAAGACATGTTCGGGTCAAAACCCCCTGTAAGAGGCATGAGGGAATTTGGTCTTGATACTGAAACCTTTCCTCAGCCAGCTTCTTTCCTGGAAATTCTGTGCACCGATAGTAATTTAGGTCCACGTGGTCTTTGCTGCAGCACACGGCAATGGAAACCAGATTGTAGCTCAGGCGCCCTCTGTTGACTCGGACTCCACTCCAATCTTTGCTTATCGCCACCTCCGCAGTCTTTTTGAAGTTGGTCAATTTGTGCCCATTACGCTTGTGGGCGGTGGTAGATGCTCAAGTTGATAATTTTTTCATAGTCCCGTGACTGAAATCTTTCAGTCCATTCAAGCACCCCCCGTTGGCATCAGGGAGGGTAAATTTGCCGCCTCCGTATTTTTCTGCAGTTTCATTAGTTGGCCGATTGTTCTGTATTACGTTTGTGGGAGGTGTTCAAGATTCAGATACATGTGCTTCAAAGGTTTGCTATAAATCTTGGTTGTGCAGAAATATAACAGTTTCGTCTGTATTTTTCTATTTTTTGTGTAAACTTGCATGGAAACAAGTGGAGATAAATTTGGGTAAATATAAATGGATCAGTGTTGCAGAGAACTGTAATCGTTCCTCCAGAACAGGTTAGCACACGAAATGGGGCACAGATGGATTTTGTAGGAGTCAGAAACCCACCAAGCAAAAATGCCTGGTAGTGGTTGTTAATCTGAAAAGTCTTCAATCTCTAATCTTCTGGAGTCTTGAGGACTGTAAGTGTTAAGATGAATAATCTCACAGACAGTATGTGACATGGTGTAACCTAAATACCCTTACCCTCTCTGCTGCTGCATTTTATTTCCAAGTGTTCGTTGTATTTTTGCCACAGCCACCAAGAAGTCCTCTGTTCCTGTTTCGTCGCACAGTGCGTGCACATGTACATGTACATGTACGTAACATGTTTTATCCTTTTGATTTTTTTTGGCCAGGCGCTTGATGGTTTCTTGTTTGTCGTCAACAGTTCGGGAGAAATTGATTTTGTGACTGAAAATGTTGAGATGTATCTGATTTATAAACCGGTAAGTCTGTTTTGGTTGTCATTAATTTGTTTTCAGTCATGGAATTGAAAGTTGATACAGTAAATGATGCATGAAGATTTACATGTATATGGAAGGAGCTTAACAAAGAGAAATGACTGGACGTTGCATTCCACAGAAATGTTGGTGGTATTTGATAGCCGTGGTCCAATCTGCCAGATAAACCTTCAATTGGAAGAGCATTTAAAAAACTTCCACGATTGAAATAAGTCCAAACAAAATAATATGTGCACTTCCTAGTACATCGAAACAAAAATGGCTTTGGTAGGTTGGTAGCATTGTTGTTTTACTCCAATTTTTCAGGGTTAAAATACCACTAGGGTTGGAGATTGTCATTTACATTTTTAAAGAACTAGCATGACTTTTTGGACAAGTCAAAACATAGTAACCTTTGAATTAAGGTTTAAGAGGAAATTTGTAAAATCAAAGCTCAATTCTTAATTTTTGCATGGGTTTTACAACACGAGCAATACATTATTTGAAAGACTTTGCTTTACATCCCCAGTTGTTCTACGTATTCTTTGTATACATTTGACTTTGTCTACAGCACTCACGTTTACAGTGCTTTTTGGATACATTGCCTAAAATATGAACTCACAAAAATGTGAAATGGTTTCTGATACAATGCTCCAAGAAGTTTCACCATGGGTTTTTTTTGCAAAGCGCAGTGGTACATCGGCATGAATGGAGTTCAGCGGCCATGTTGATCTGCCACTGCTTCAACGTTCGACTGCTTAAAATACAAGCACAGAGATTTCGAAACAAAATGGAAAAGCATGTATGTAAATGTACATGTAAAGAAAAATATTGTTCTGTGAATTAGCTCACAGATATATCTTTCCGTTAGTTTGGATTGTTTCACAGATTCAGGCTGTCAAAGTTTGCATTGTCTTCATATATTCAATGTGTAGAAACTAGTCCAATTTGTTTTAGAGTCTCCTAATGTTTGTGTTAAAGTGAGTTGTCATAGGTTGCTTTGCTGTCATTCTATTGACTCCAGGAATTAGTGTTGTGTGGATTGGAGTTCAGTATATTACAGTCGCTTATTAAATATACGCATAGTGGAAACCTGCCACAGTTAGTAGTACGTATCTTTACAAAACAATTTCGCTTGAACAGAGGAAATTTAACCCCTGACTTGTGGAATGCGTTAACAGCACCTTACCTACCACATATACCCGGTAGGTTATCCATTTTTCATTTGGCTATCTCCCTTGTCAGCTAGTGTTTCTGTTTTCAGCACCTTGCAGAAACAGTGGAATTTTGGGAGACAGAAATCATTGTTCAATGATTGGAGATCTATAGCCTTGTGGTCCGACATGTGGTTGTGGAGTTTGTGTATAGGTTGTGGGGTTGTAATGGGCTTTTGTGTCCGCAGGCAGGACACTTTGCCAATAATTGCCTCTTTTCTACTCCATGAATAAATTAGGACAGAGTTGATTGTTGCATTTGATTTAGCCATTTGTGCTGAAGTGAGAGTTCACACTCCCTGTAAAGCTGAGGTGTAAGGAATGTTTGGAAAGCCTGATGAATAGGGGTAACAACCAGACAACAAGGTGATTGCCAAAATGTGCATAAAGGGCTGTCCATAAAGTACGTATGCACGAACAGGGGAGGGGGTAGGTGCCATTGTGTATGCCATGCGTACAGAAGGGGGGGGTTCAAGCGCCCTGTTGGTACCATACGCAAACTGAAAATTTACCTTTAATGAATCTTCATCCTAGCAATACACTTTGTCAAATAACCACCAGAATCAGCTTTTGTGCGTTGAAATTCAAACATAGTATTCTCCACCATCCACCATATCATTTATTCTCCCATGCCAACACCCGTTATAAGTAAACCTCAACATTACTCATGACACAAAGACCGGCAGCGTCTTCTGGAATCGTGGAATGCGTATGCGTACAGGGAAGAGGGTTGGAGCCACTGCATACGCCATGCGTACAGTGGAGACGGGGTGTTGACAAAGCCGGCATTTCATGCCTATGTACTTCATGGACGGCCCCAAACTGTGATTTCCTTGTTCTCTTCTTTAATAATCAGGAGGATCTGATTGGGATGAGCATCTACAATTTTATCCACATTGGGGACCACAATCAATTCCATAACTGTCTGCTTCCAACCTCAACTCGTGAGTATTCTGTCATTTGTCAAGAACCAAAGACATTGACCAACTCCTTCGGCCTTGTGTCACATAGCAATTAATCTGCTCTCTTCAGAGATGTTCATGTTTAAATCATAGTTTTGGCCAAGGAGATAGCACCTCTAATTAACCATTAACCTTATACCTCAGCTTTGAATTGTGAAAATGGATTTATCTTTTCTTTGTGTTTAATATTGCTAGGCGGCATCAGACCAGAACTTTCATTCTTAAATTCTTTCTTAGTTAATTACAATTTCTAATTTTATTTCTCCATTGTCCACCGTTCCGCCCTGAAGTCATCCAATGTCAGTCCTCTTAAATGAGCCCAACTCCCAACTTGTCGTCATCTTCCAAGCTTCCTTCCATTCAGGAATGCCAGGTCTTAGGCAAAAGCCTGACTTCAGGCTTTTCTCTGAAATGCCAGCGTAATGTCAGGCCTTAACTAGACCAGGTCAGGCCTCCCTGGCCTTATTTTTAGCTTCTGGAAAACCTGACCTATCTTCCTCTCATCAAATCCTGCCAAACCCTAAAATGGGTTTGAAGGATTGTAAAGGTTGGAATTCAGCAGTTGAAATTAAGTATCCTTGAGACATCTTCCCCTGCAAGTTTTGAGTTTCAGTGTAAAGAATGTCATTAATGTTGCCACTTTTCTCATCCTCCCTCCCATTTTGGGGTATCTCCTCCCCCTTCCAATCATCCCACCTCCTTCCCTGGGAGCAGCCGGGATGTGGTCCCAAGACTCCAGCTCTCCAAGCAGCCGCAATCGCTCCTTCACCTGCCGCATGCTTAAAAAGCCAGTTGACGAAGAAGACACCCCAGAAGCAGAGCAGCACTACGAGAACCTCAAGTGTTCGGCCATTCTGAAGCCTAAAGAAGACGGACAGTCTTCCAACTCCACAGAGAGTGGTGAGCATTGTTCTTTCGGGTAGATACTTCTCTCGACAAGGGCAACTGCTGTCTCCAAAACAGGACTTTGGACTCTGGATTTTTGAAATCCATTACTACTGTGCACCCAATGCCCATGTAAACATCTGTGTCAATTGTGCTCATTCAGATGAAACTTATGAGTGCATTCCTTGCACTCCTTCAATGTTTACAGCTCACAGTATGTTGTTACTAGGTAACAAAACAGCCCCTGCCATTCATACAGGGAATCCATTCCTCTAACCAGTTTTTTAACAGTTTGTGTTTCACAAAACTTTGACAACTGTATAAGTAGACATCACAGCTACTTGTTTTATGCACATCAGTAAAAACATACCAAGGTCTTCCTTTCCATGTATTACATTGACATTCAGATGGACACAGATATTAAGCTCTTGCTGCTGGGGGAAGTTATCAATGTTGATGATGCTGGTCCGGGATAATTATCATTTTTCAAATTCTTTAAAAATTCTTATCTTCATTCACTGGACACTTACAAACACGTGAAGGACTGTCTGGTGTCCACTCTAGCCTGACAGACAAAATCTATTGACGCCTGAGTATTTCAGCCAGGCCTGCAGCCTTGTAAAAAGAGCCCAGGTTGTGCGGTGTTATATAGGTTTCTTTTGTTCACGAACCTGGCTCAGTGCACTGCTGACCTCTTTTCAATAGGGGCCAGACTAGCATGCAGCGGTGCCGTGTGGCTCATGGCTGCGGTGGTGGAGCGCTTTTGTCCCCGGTGGTAATCCGTTCACTCTAAATGCCCCAAACCGTGGTATACTGTTTCAAAACAAGGCTGGATTATCTCCACTTTTGAGAGTGAAAAAATGTCGGTAATGCCCAGCAGCCTGGTCTTTTGTTCTGAGTACGGTCTCTTGTTACAAGGCCCAGTTCCCTTTGTCCGAGTTGGGAGACCCCAACCACGCATATAAAGCATACGTGTCCGGATCCAGAATCCCCAGCAGGAAATGGTTAAGTTTGGAAAATGACAGCTTCGTCCAATTCTCATGTAAAAGATTGATTGGGTCCGTCATTCAGAGTTCACTTGACGGACTTGTGACCAGTTTTGATTGGTCTGATACGTGAAGCAAACTTTAAAGCGCCAAGCATTTTTCCACCACTGGTCAAGGTTACCCGGTACCAAGATTATATTTCATACAAAAGTTACCAGGGAAAATGCCCCTTGATAGTACCCAGTTGTAAGCATGTGTGCAATGTTCCAAGCTGCATATTTCATGCGCGCTTCACGAAGCACTGGATTTTTGTTGTCTCTCCATCAGACCCACCCTCGCATCTTGTCTGCGTTGCCCGTCGTATGGAGGACAGCGCCACCACTGGCGGCAACGCAGCAGGCAGCGCGGGTGCCGCCATGTTGCTGGGTGGCGTCGGTGAGGACTTCACCACCCAGCTGGACCTGAAGGCCGTTGTCATGTCGGTGGACCTGTCCCGCCTCCATCCGCCCCACTACGCCAAGGAGGATCTGGTGGGGCAGATCATCTACAAGTTCTGCCACCCCAGCGACCGGGCAGAACTCAAGAAGCACTTAGATGAAGGTAGAGGAAGACAGTTGAATGTGATTCAAGAGTTTGCACGGTGGATCTAGCAATGCGAGGCAGGTTTTGGGTAGCACCATGTGAAATCTCTTTTGTGACTGAATAGAATTCTGAAAAGGAGCCAGTAGACTCAAAATTTTAGAGGTTGTGCCCTGTCCGTCAACATGAGAATTCCACAGTTGTATCCTTTTCATGTTTTACTGCTCCCAGTTCTACATAAACCCACTTCAACTTGTCATCCCTGCATTTCCTAGATGACAAACAGCATACTGTCTGAAAGACCAATCCATCAGTTCTTCTCAGAAATTCACTCACGAAAGAGATCTGTAAAAGGGCTACTCCAAACCTTTCCCTCCTTTTCTCTTGTAGTATGTCAGAGCTCGTAGCTTACAGCTCCACCCCGGCAAGGCTGCTTATGTTGTGTGTGTTTCCTGTTTATTAAATTACATGGACATAGCATTTAGAAGTGGAAGGTTTGAGTTATGTCATGTACATGCTAAGATATTTGTTTGGACTGTGGAATTAATGAGAGACTGTTTTGAGGGGAACTTTATTTTTAAGCATTCATTGTTCTGACCTGTGTGCTTAGAATTGGGTTGATGGGACGTGCCCCACTCATTCAAGCTTGTGACCTGACTGTTAACCATTGTGTTTAACTTTTTTTGTGACACTACAGCCTTGGAGCAGGGAACCAGCTCCAGTCTGATGTTCCGGTTCCAGATTTACAAAGACACCTGGGTGTATGTTCAGACGACCAGCAGAGTCTACCGCAACCACTCCAGCGGGAAAGTGGAATGCTTCCTTGCCACCCACTCTGTCTTGAGGTTTGTGCAGAGCCTAACCCCTTCCCATTGCACTGCACCTCACCCCTATGTACCTCACCCCCATTCCCTATTACAAGGTTCTACCCCCAGGCCTCACCCCTTGACCCAACTCGCAGACCCCTGCCCCACCATCTCTCTCATCACATTTCTCCTATTCCCCTGTCCTTGTTGAATCATGCAGACAAAAATTCAAGAAATGATCGGGTCCCAATTTTTGCCGTCCCAAATGTTGAGATATGCAGTAATGTGATGTTTTTGTTGTGCAGAGACGATGCGTCATCTGGGAAAGTGATGAAGCAATCCAACATGCTTGGGATGACCTCAACAAGCGGCAGCAACAGCAACACTAATCGCATAATGGAGGCCCTTTCCAACTTCAACAACAACAGCAGGGCAGACCTGAACAGGATCTGCTCCATGGTGCTGAAGCGACACCAACAGAACGAGCATCAGCACCTGCAGCAGCAGCAACAGCACCTGCAGCAGCAGCAACAGCAGCAGAAGGGAATTGGTTTCAGTAGCAACAGTAAAGTCCCCACCGCCAGCAATCCCAACAGTTTGCCCACTAATGCACAGGAAGACTTGGACTTGTTAAAGAGGTCCTCCCTGTCTACCTTGCTGCAGGACACCTCTGTTAGGAACTGTAGCAGTACTATGGAGACTGCGAGCGTCTACCCAGTGTCCCACAGCAGCGGGGGCAAAAGTGGTAGCAGCAGTGGCAATGACCGCTATCCAATCCCCGAGAAGATCCAGCGGATGGAGCATAGCCCGTCAGACTCAAACATAGCCTCCTCTACCGAGCACGGTGGTCGGACGCTCTCAGAGCAAAGTGATGATGGGGACGTCTTCCTCTCTGACCACCAGAATCACAAGAAGGGGAGGTTTCCGGACAAGAGCCGGCCTAAGGGTACAGGCAGCAGCAGTGGTGGGGGTAGCGGGGAGGGGTCAGGTGGTCAAGTGGATCGCGACAGCCCCAATCTGAGTCCCGACACCAACGAAGGTGTTAAGGAAACAACCAGCAGCACCTTAAGCAAGAACACTCTCCTACAGAAGCTTCTCCAGGATGACCCAGAGGATGGTAGGCAATGACATTATTCCTGTGCATTGGTTTGTGAATATAGGGCCAGTGAAGACCTTGCCCTAGAAAGGAAAGCATAGTGTTCATTAGTATTAAACCCCGGAGCAGCCCATTGAGACATGAGATGTGTTTTGTGTACTGAGCAAATGTTCTAATTTTTATCCACTGTTTCTTACAGACAAGAGTGATACAAGCAGCAGTCGGAGTAACTCGCCCTTGTGCACTGAGCACAAAAACACTTCCGAGGATGAAAAGATGGATGAGAAGACCTTCAGCCAACTTCTGAAATCTGACACTAGCAGCATTGGTGGTGGCAGTAGCAGCAGCACAGAAAAGCCATTTAAATCATCATCGGAGAGCAGTGAGAGGCCTGAAGGCAATAGCGAACAGTTGGCAGATGCTGACGGCAAGCCCCGCACGCGGCGGAAATCCATCGAGCGGGAGAACCTCATTTTAAGCAAGCTCCTGGATGGGGACTCTGGGTCCATGTTCGGAAGCGGCAAACTGCCCAAGGAACAGCCGGGCTTTGTCTGCAGTAATGTGGTCTCCACCACCACTGTGCTGCAGAAGGGTGATTCGGACAAACAGGTCGCCAAGAGTGACAAGAACACTGACAGTGGAAGCAGCAACAACAACAGCAACACCAAGAAGCGCAAGAACGTCCTGCTGCAGAAGCTTCTCATGGAGGATTTGCCAACCATCGAGAAGAACCGTGACATTGAGGCTACATGTCAGGAAAGCACGACGTCACCGACTGTTACTACCACCAAGCCTGGCGTGCCGGGCTCCCAAAAAACGAATACTGAGGAGAATAGTGTGGACAGCTTTGGTAATGAGAGTGAAGCCGTGATGCAACAGTTCCTACAGGATGCCCCACACCTCCCTGAAGATGGCGACAGTAACCAACCCAACATGTTCATGGAAATATTGAAGGATCTGGAGGGTGTGCATGACCTGCCTGAGGCCCACATGCAGTCCCTCATGAATGCCCCGGACAGCAGTTGTCAGACCCAGACCCGATATCCCGCCCAGAACAACGCCACTCTTGGGTCAGGGGTGCAGACGCCCCAGAGCAAGCTGCCCATGGGACCAGAGACCCTCCCTGGCCCAGGACCCCACCAGAGACCTGACAGCAGTGGGGGGCTTGCCAATGCTACTCTGATGGGCCAAGGAGTTGGACATGAGCCTACCAACTCCATGCACTCCAGGAAGTCGCCTGGTGTGAACTCGCAGCACCGCCAGCCGGTCAAAAGGACCAACTCTAGGGACTCCTACAACAGTGGCAGCGGTGGGATGCACCCCAGTGCTGGTAACTTTGGCCGTTTTGGCTCCTCGCAGCCAGACTGTTTCAGCATGGAGGGTATGCAGAATGTCATGCCACCGAACCAAACAGCACCCATGCAGACCTCAATGTCACAGTTACCCCTACAAGGAACTGGACAGCAACACTTGTACGACCAGGATCATATACAGGTAGGTCACAGGTATTTCTGCCAAGAAAAATGTAACAGGCTTGAAGTCTTTTGTTTGCTGCTCAGCCCAGCAAAGTGAAACAAGTTCCCAACTGTTTGAAATTGTTGCTTAACCCCTTCGCTCTGGGACGTGGCTAGAGCCGCCGTAAAAATTGAGATCCTCAGCCCGCTTTTCAGCTATTATTCTCGGCCCACGCTCGAGCGAACACCGTGAAAGAAGGCAGACCCTGGTTCTTGTATATATGGTGATTGGCCTTTGGCCCAGAAATGAAAAGACCGAATTTGCATCATAATAACCAGCTTCACAACAGTCCCCACTTTGAAAAGAGGAAACGGGAATGTGGAAGCGTGAGTAGAGCCTCATGCCA